AAACAATTATATTATCATCATTAGAAGAAAGTAAACAAGGATATGTTCTATTTTTTGAGGGGAGAGAGAAATTAATATTTCAAATCTTATGAACATTGACAGATTATATAAAAAATTAATTTCAACATTATATAAATCAATAAACCATTATTGGTCTGATCCTTCTGTCTTAGCAATGCTCACATCAACATTAGATCCAAGGTTCAAACATTTGATGAAAGAATATGTTTAGAAATATAAAAATTCAATATGAATTAATCAATGAACAACAACAACATAATAGTAGTCCTTCTAGCAGTCTTCTTATTCAAGAAGTGTAATACTTCTTTTAAGAAACAACAACTCCAATGAAAAAAAATCAGTTTTTGATAATTTATTGATGATTTGCAACAATATGAAGAATCATAAGGTGAATATGAAAAATATTTTCTTTGCCAACTGCTTTCAGGCAAGTAGATCCATTGACTTGGTGGAATGATAGAAAGGATGAATTTCCTAGTATGTCAACTCTAGCAAAAAATATTTATGTATCAATGAAACTTCTGCACCTTCTGAACATTTATTCTCTAATGTGGGAAATCACATAACACCACAAAGGAACAAATTATCCCATCTTGTTATTTCTAAAGCATTATTTTTGAAAAGAATTTCAAATAATATTTCTGTTTTAATAATTTATTCATATTAATTTGGTTAAATAAATTATTACTATATTAGGTATTTGATCTGCGAATTTCTTTTAAAGAACGAATTCAATTCTATTTATTATTAATTACAATGATTTATAAATAGTAGTTGCAAATTTTTATTCTAATATACAAAATAATGATGGATAACTTTAGTCATCAATTTTGTTTATTACTAAGATTTCTAACATTTAAAAGTATATACGTTGATATAAGGGCCCAAACCCTTATATAGATTTGTGTTACTTGCAAAATTTTGAAAGCCCCTCCCCTCTATTCCTAAACACGTATTTTCTGTCCCTTTTTTTTTAAAAATTATCAGTGTTACACGTGATTTAATTATTTCATCAATTTTCTTATAATTAACTATACCAAATCCTTATATAATATATTCTTTACAACTATTTCACTATTTAACCATACTCATATATTCAAATTTCACAAAGAATGACTTCTTTAAAGGA